TATCAATATAAAAAAGAAAAACATGACATAAAATTTTATATTATGCCAAAACAACGTAGAAAAGAAAGAATCATTCCTCATTTTATGAGGAGATCTGAAACTACTATGATGATGAACCGAACTACAGCTCTACAGACGTTAAGTAACTAGATATGTACAAAACAAAACAGAAACATGCAACTAAGTACTTCTGACATACAAAGACACAAATAAAAGATACAGTCACATCTAGAATAAAAACAGATTTAGTAAATAGCTTTTTTTATACAACTTAGAATGGCAAACAAGCTGACAGCCGACCTGATGGAAAGTAGTAACCGTCGCCTATAAACATAAGCAGTATCATGGATATAACAGAGTATACTGTTTCGCCCATGAGACCCATGCATTGCCATTCCTGAGGATTCAGATGTTATTACTCTGTACCCTGTAAATTCACGCCATATCCCTCTCTTCAAACTGAAACACAGCCATGCAAACACAACTGCTTCACGGTAGAAACACGAATGGGACAGAGGTACCCAAGCAATCGACTTTTGTACAGTCTCCCTCTCTCTCTAGCTATTGGTTACGCTATAACATGAGTCCACCCATGATCTTCTGTGGTCTATGAGCATTAAACACTATTTAGATGTTGAAGTTCATTACCTTTTCGTCACTTTTAGAGATTTTGTGCGACTTGCCTTCCCTCACACACTTTCAGTGTTCTATTCTAGTTTGAGATATACCTTAAATAACTAATTGTTTAATTACTACCAGAGGGCGACTTTGTACAGTCGTCTGATTGGATTCCTCTGTCCCATTTGTGTTTCTGCCGTGAAGCAGTTGTGTTTGCATGGCTGTATTTCGGTTTAAAGTGTGGAATATGGCAATGAAATTACAGGATACAAAGGCATAACACCCTAGCCCTCAGATAAACAACGCGTGAGGGGTGTCATGAGCTACTCTATTATTCCCATGGCACTGTTAATGTCTATAGGCGACACTTACAGTACGTCGATACCACTTTCCATCAGGTGGGTCGTCAAATTGTATGCCATTCTAAATTGCATAAAAAAAATATCCAGCATAATCCTCTGACAAAAAATGGAAAACACTCATGTGTGAAAGCGAGGATTGTATAACATATACTCTGTTGACGATGATATGAATATTTAAGTACTTTTTCCCAACAAATGAAGTAGCAAACCAACTGATTACTTATCTAATACAAACTAGTAAACTTCGCTTAAAACAATAAAAACCTATTTTTTTTTTATTAAACCAGAAAGACAAACAAGCAGACGGCCTATCTGATGGAAAGGGTAACCGTTGTCTATAGACATAAACAGTATCGTGGACATAACAGAGTTTAGAACTGTTTCGTCCATGATACCCCCATGCGTTGTCATTTCTGAGGACTAAGGTGTTATACACTGCTGTAAATTCATTGCCATATGTCGCCCTTCAAACCGAAACACAGCCATGCAAATACAATTGCTTCACAGTAAAAACACAAATAGGACAGAAGTACCCAATCAAACAACTTTTATTTGATTGGGTACCTGTGTTTGGGGTTAGTCTCTCTCTGGTCTCTTACTTGGAGTTGTCGCTTTGATATACTACAATGCACGCAAATGGTGTTTTACTGAAAAAAATACGTACAGTCGCGCTAAATATATACCTACATGTGGCTAACGTCTACATATGCCTAATTGGGGGGAAAGGATTGTTAATGGTGACCAAAGACCCCATTGCTAGCAATATAGCTAACCAGGTCGACCTCCACGTAGTCTCCCCCGCGAAACCATCATGCATAATTACAGGTGTATTCATCACAATGGGCTAACTGACATATCTTTTTATCCTCGCCCATCATCTCACTCACTTATCTGGTGATGTGCCAGTGCACACCGATAGCGCAGGTGGGGTTATCATTCCATCATCACCCGATCAAAAAAACATATGCCTAATTAGGTAATACGTATCTATTCATCACCTTAAGTACATAATTGATCATTTTCTATTATTTTCATTTATAATGTACTTACATAGTGCAATTCAATAGACATGTCAATATTATTCTTGTTGTATTGTTACAAATAATTGCTTAGATAAATAAATACATGCTTGCATAATCAATCACAAAAATAGGCACGATATAAACGTATCACAAAGACAATGGAAATACTCGTAGTGTCACTCTCGAATTAATTATGCGTAGGTTATTTAACGTTAATCCATATAAGGCCAGATAATGTTTACTATGACACTATGGTTATGAGTAAGCTACTTTGTAACTAGACCGAGTTCCGATTCAAGAATTCCATCTTAGGATAAGTAGTGGGTAGGAGTACCGCCCGCGCACAATCCATATCAGATTCCCTGTAATTTGCTCTCTTTATGACTGCTTACTACCAGATTCAAAGTGAATGTTATTAAATATCCTAGATTTCATATTTTACTCGTATTATGCCTAATGACTGCCTCTTTAAAAGAGAATAAAAATAGCAATTACTTTAAAGCAGCAATGGTTGTTTTAACACTCCGTGTGTTCGCTATGATTTTTTAATTCCAATGTGAATTCAGAGTAAAATAGCCAGAACAATACACCAGAGGCATAACAGCTCATTCCTCAGGATTGGCATCACATTAATATCACAGCATACTCCATAAAGCCGATGACGATGTTTACATAGTTTTGTTTTTTTTTTAATATAATGTACCAATTTTACAGAAATACATCTTTTTTAACGAATGATAAAGCAATGGTAACTCGGCCTGCGTTAACGGTATACGCTGGCGGGGCACCAGTGAGAGATAATAGGTGAGATTGTTACAGTTAACCCACCGAGATGAATAGACCTGGAATTTGGCACGTTGTTTTCCAGGGGGGACCACGTGTAGGTCGATCTGATAGGGTATATTGCTGTATCATACATATAAACTGTTAATGAACTTTTTACAATATTTCCTATTAAGTTTTTTCTTTGAAATACCTACAGTACTTACATTAATATTCATAGCGATTGGTTATTCAAAATGGACATTGTCAATGTATCGTAGCGCCATCTAGAAACAAATTACAACGAAATGAATAATGTGAAAACTATGCTCAAATACAAAAACCTATTACCAATTTCCATACCTTTCAATTGAAGTTCATATGGTGCAGTACCATCTAGTGATAATTTATAATAAATTGTATTGTCTAAAAATCGTTCCTATAAAGAAATAACGAAAATATCATTATTAGACACTTCCATCTTTTTTTGTTTCAAAATAAACATAAACGCTGTTAAGACCTAAGATTAAGACTTTGTCTTGTTTACTTTTTGGGTATATAGTTGATAGAGATTATAACGCAAAATATAAGTATACAAATAACGATAGTGTAAGCCCACAGGGGCCAATAACGATTTTTACATGTAACCCAATAAATGTTATTATTTACGTAACTTTTTATATTAAATAAAAAGTAAGTAATTACTATTTATAATAATATTACTAACTCACACAGGATGAGGTAGAAGGATTATTAGTAATGGGGACGATAATCTCTGTTGCTAGAAATATACCCTATCAGGTCGAACTCCACGCAATTTCACCTAGAAGCCATCATGATTAATTCTTATTAATTCTGTCACAATGGGCTAAATGACCTAATTACATCTTAACTATCACCATTTACTGGTGCCCCGCCAGCATATAACGATAGCACAGACGGGATTACCATTCCATTATAATTCACATAAGAATTTTACAAGATTTTGAATTATATAAATACCTAAATTTCTTGAAATAATAATAAATCTATAAAAATAGAACTTCGTTATTATATTTTAAATAATTCTATAATTTATATAAGTTAAAAAATTTTTATAATTTTTTTTTAAATAATATTTGAAGCTTTTTAAAAGATAATGATATGTTGTTAAATTAGCAGTTACCCACGGGCTCGTTTATTTTTAAATAAAAAATAAATGCTTGTATGAAAGTCTGTGATTTTCAAAGAAGCATGAAATTTTATTCTGGTAATAAAAAAAATATATATTAAGGGGTTATTTTTCTTTACACTGCTACACATTTATACAGTTTATATTTCATTAGTCCGTTACAGAAATGCATTTTATTTATAGAATCTTTATTATGGTAATGACGTTTGTATAGAGAAAACGTATTTCTTGCACTAGTATTTTACATTTCATAACTTGTACTTCGAACTTAGTACATTAACTTTTTTAAACGATTCTTTATATACAAACGTACCAACCATCCAAAACAAAAAAAATTGCCACAATTTTTGTCGAGCTTTACATTGAATTTCGTTCTTGAAAAATATTGTACTTGAAAAATAATGGACTCCTCATATAATACATATATATATATATATATATATATATATATATACTTCTTTAAAAATAATGAGTTCCATACGACAGTTCATCCCTTATTTTACCCCTTTAGGAACACAAATTCCTAAAATTCTTCCTTAATATATGTTTACAAATAGAATGCAGCAAATGCCTAAATTTAAAATTTTTAACTCCTGTGGTTTAGGTTATTTGTAATTCATTTATAAGAGCACTAAGACACTATTAAAGAAAAACTAGTATTATTATTTACCTACATATATTTGTAATCCCACAGTCAAAAGTATGTCTACAACTGAAACAGCCAACAACTGTTTCCCCTAAATAGTATTATATCCCAACTATCAGTGGTATTCAAAGTAAAAAATCCTTTATATATATCAACATCCATTTTATACATTATTTTTATACTTATAAATTGAATTATTCAGTATTTTAAAGCTTTTATAAAAATAAGCTATTACAAACTACTACTACTAATAAACTACATCCAATACAATTTTCGATTATAGTATAATGTAAACAATAATAATACATATGTTACCACAAAGTTCTTATCATGAGGCACCATCATACTGATAAGGCTTTGTTAAGAAGTAACAGCATGATAAGCAATATACTATTGTCATATGTAAATTAAATAACGCATTTTGAAGAATATACATTTATTACTTTTCTTATAGAATACAAAACAATTAACATAAAGTAGTTTAAGTGTATTATAATAATTAACATTAATCACTTTTGTGCCAGTGTCTAAGCAAACGGACCTCGAAGATGATATGAAAGCTTCTTAGCTTATTAATGTTGGTCCCTTTTAAACTAATGTAGACAGCTCATATATCACCCATGTATTAGACATTTAAAAAATAGACAATGCAACACAATATATACTGAACTAATATAAACTCTAATATAAGAATGAATCATCTCAACCCAACTAAACTAATAGTGCTAAACGGATGTAATGTGCCTTTAATAAACACAGAATTTTTATAGTGTTAAAGTCATGTATGCTTGTAACTAAGTATAAAATAAGCTGAAATAAAATATGTAATACATACTGAAAAAGATATTATGAAATAAGTTTATGACAATTGTAAAAAAGAATATTTAAAATTTTTTACATGTTAATAGTCATAATAATGGCTACAAAAATAATATTTCTGATATTACAATAGTTATTAATGAGTCTAGACATGTTTACATGAATGAGAAAATAGTTTCTAATATTACAATAATTTGACAATATGTATATCAATAAGACATTTCAATTAGGCCATAAATAAGCTCAATGAGTCATAACTTTAATACTAGCTATTTATCACAAGGTAATTAAATCTGTACAAATTGGCCACTTTATAAGTATGTATAACACTAATATAAAATTTCCAAAAGGCCTTTTGTAAAGCAACAGCAAAGATATATTACTCAACATTATATACTCACAAAATAGAAATTTTAGTTTTTTTTTTTTTTGTATAAAGTGAATCTTTAGTATTCATAGTTTACATTGTGCTATACACACAACATTAACATTTTATAGATTTGTAGATGAATATCAAACATACTTAGCAAATTAGTAAATATAGAAATGTTCTTTTGTATAGTCTTATGTAAAAAATATACTGTTCAGTCGATTTGGTATTTGTGTAATATTATAATAGCATTTTATCGCTCAGACGACAATTTCTGTAGGATTCTATAGTTACATATCGCTTTTTCAGTTTTTTCCACCACCTGTTATTATGAAGATTATCGTCCAGAAGCAGCAGGTTGCTCAGATGGCGCTGGAGCATTTGTAGCAGAAGAGCCTGATCCACTCGTAGCCCAAACAATTATAATGATTAGCAAGACTCCACCTATGGCACCAATTATCAACATCATTCTCATGTTTTGCCACCACATTTTCTTTTTCAATTTTCCAGCTTGCTGCTCAAATTGTGCTGCTCCATGCTGTAAAGCATCTGCTCGGTTGTCTAAATCCGATAACTTTTGGTCTCTTTCTAAAACTTTCTCGACGTTGACACGCATTATGCCGACAACTTCATCAACTTGCGCCTGGGTCTGGGCTAATCGTTTATCACTTACTCTGGGTACAGAACTTCCTTGATGATCCTCCATTTTTCAATAGAATTTAATATTACAATTCCACTTTGTAAAAGAATAAAAATTTAAGTTTAGATGAGGTGTCTATGTAAAATAAATATGGCGACAACACAATCATGTAAACCACTCTGGGTTATCACATGTGATGTTTATTTCTCCTCATCTTTAATTTTTTTTTTCAAAATCATATAATTACATTCTGTTTTACCATTACTAAGATACCATTATATTATTAATATTACTACTACGTACGGCGAAAAAAGCCCCTTTACTGAGCTTAACGTTAAAATTCATAAAAACATGACACATTTATAATAGTCGTACTATTTAAAACAACTATTTAAGATTCTTATTTACAAAGTTCTCATAATCAGAATCCGGATATTAAAAGAAGCGCAAAACATAAATACATATAATAAATAGATAAGTAGGATTTGAATAAAATTATATTTTAATAAAATATATATAATCATCTGTGCGGTCCAAATCAAGACGTCTTTCTTTATTTTTCTATCTATACATGGTCTAACTTTAAAGTTAATTATTTTACATTACCCAAATTATTTTAATTTTAAATCTTGCAATTTTCCATCTTACACATGAAATCGTTTTTCCACAATTGGGAAAAATTCATGATCTGGCAATGATAGGTAGGTAAATGAGTGAGAATGAATGACACATATGTAGGTAGGTACATATCTAGCTAAATACCAGTGAAGTGATATCATCGTAATGTTGCTATTTTTTTTTTTTTGATGGGTGAAAATGTTATAGTAACACCGCCTGCGCTAACGGGATACGCTGGCGGAGCACCAGTGAAGGGTGATAGATGAGAATGAAAACAGGCCAGTTAGCCCATCATGATGAATTCGTCAGGAATTAACCATGATAGTTTCCAGGGGGAACCGCGAGGAGGTCGACGTGGTTGGGTATATAATAGGATTCTCAGTCTCTATTACTAAGAATCCCTTTCCCCCCCTGTAATGTTGCTATTAAGATATTATTACTGACTGAGAGACTCAATCAGTTTTAATTTCACGAATTAATTTTAAAATTAATTAAAGAAATGGCACCTTAGAACCGACCCCAATATCGTATTATGATAAAATAGAGAAATATTTCACAGCTGTGTTACAATTATAACTATTCGGATGCGTACACAAACATATAAAGCAGACAAAGCACAAGTTGAAAGCATAACTAAAATATTTCTCTATTACTCACTCCTACAGTAAAATGAATTTTATTGTCTTTTTTTGTCACGTGTTATGATATTTCATCGAACTGTGACATACGCCATTTGGCCATATTAATAAGCTGTATAAGCTGCATGCTCAAATTATATTAAAAACCAAAAATTTTATGATTTTCATTACTACAGCTGGTCGTGAAAAAAACACGTGTAAATTGTAAAGTGCAGTAAGAAAATATACCAGATCGAACTTTTTACCGATATATAAACATTTTTTTTGTCAACTTATTATGAATTATAGAAATATTGAAAAAAAAAACACGCGTTATCGGAGTGTGTATTTCCAAATAATTTTTAGATCATTGCATGAAACAGCATACAGATACATGAAATTGTATATAGAAATATTGAAATAAGTTGCAAAATAATAATTTTTTTATTTACAATAAGTATAGGATACGATTTATAATATGATGGTCGCATTTAGGCCTACGAGACTTAAGTATATTTGATGATTATAATTATAAAGAAATTATTATTATTATTATTCTAAATTCGCTAAAGACGAAAAATTATTTAGCATCTGGGTTTTTAACACGAAATAAAAAAATTAGAAACCGACCAAAACATAATATATATGAATTGAGAAAAATAACAACTGATGGTGTATCTTTCGTCTTTTTACTAATTATATTTGCATAAGAAGAAAGGAGGCAACTCTATAATTTACAGTTTTTATATTATCATTCCTTCTATGTAATTCCTTGTTCTTAGCTGTAATCTTTGCTTAGGGTCTAATTTTTGGCGAAGTCTGTTTTATCTGGCAACACTGCTTTTTATCCATTTAAGTATTCATTAATACGACTGAATTTAGTGTCTTTTATTTCACCGGTTTAAATTATATTCTTTGCACTTCTAATTTGTTAAAGTGGAAAATGGTAAGGATATGTTTTATATTTATTGTATGGTAAATAATCTTAATTAACATTGCTGAAATAAATCGTGCATCCTCTTTTCTGTTCTTCTCTTAAAACACATGTGTCTGATTCAGTGAATTAAAATGGTACAGGTTTCCCTAAACCCTATCAGAATTTTGAAAAATGAAGCTGAAGAAGAAAAAGCTGAAGTGGCTCGAATGTCGAGTTTCATTGGTGCCATTGCAATTGGTGACTTGGTGAAAAGTACTCTGGGTCCTAAAGGAATGGACAAAATTTTGGTTTCTTGTGGAAGAAATGCTGGTCAGGTTGGTAAAAAACATTAGTCTATCAGTTTTTGGGTAACTTATTATTTAGTTTGTAAAAGTTTCAATTGTTTATATAAATCAACTTAACCTATAAAAAATATACACTGGACTCAATTCTAAGATACAATTCCCTAAACTTATCTTTAAACAGGCAGCAAAATGAAAGGGAGGTGCCTTCACACCCCTCTCTCAAGAAAGAAAATACATAAAGACATTTTTTTTTAAGTTATAAATTTAAGGTGTCTAGGTTACCATTCAAAATTGTTAAATGCATACATCTATAAAATTTATATTCTATTTCTTAACAGTTTTTTACCTGCTATTACATATGGATAGATTTCAGAATTAAGAAAACCAATTAAATAAACCCCTTATAAATAATGTATCAAAATACCAGATTTTAAGTTAGATCTTCTGTAACACAACTATGAAAACCGCATCCAATTTGGTATTTGCATATTGCCAGAACAAATATACAGACACAATATTTCTTTCTTTATTGTTGTTTTGGTATATATTGGTCTTTATATTTTAATTTTTTTTAATATCTCTCATGTAAAGACAACACATAGTTATAATTTTATTAGTAATATAGTATATTTTGCAAATGCTCCTTCATGTAATAATTTTGGCACCACCCATGTCTCAAAAAATTACAATTAAAATTTGAAACTTATAGACCTTTGACAATTAAATGAAAAAAATTCTATTAAAAATTAGTTTCTGTTAGATCATAGATTAGATAATTTTACTGTAATATAAAATTGACATTTTATAGATGCTTTAAAATCTACTTCATGTATATATCATTATCATATGTATATATCATGTATATATCTATTTTTGTATGTCTATTGTCACATATAATTTTTCCAGGTGGAAGTCACAAATGATGGTGCTACAATATTAAAATCAGTGGGTGTGGACAATCCTGCGGCTAAAATCCTTGTTGATATGTCAAAAGTTCAAGATGATGAAGTTGGTGATGGTACCACATCAGTCACTGTTTTAGGTAGGTATTTTAATATAGCTGTATTTACAATAATATAATAATAATAATGTATAATTTTATAGCTTCTATGATGAATTGGGATGAAAAGTATTCTGTGTTAATCTACATCTATCAGTGTATGAAATTTTATTTATAATGTATCTCTATAAATTTATTTACATCTAGAATAATGCAAATGGATGCCATGTTTGTTTTATTTATTAAAATGGAATGGAATTTACTGAATTAACAGCATACATTGGCAGGGCACCAGTGAGTGATGATAGGGGAGAATGAAAAGGCAGTTGGTTAACCCATCATGATGAATACAGCTGGATTTCAGCACAATGGTTTCCAGGGGGACCATGTGTAGGTCGACCTGACCTAGTGTATTGCTAGCAATGCTACTAGTATTCTGCAATACTAACAATCCCTTTCCTTCACAACCAGTAATGGCTGATAAGTGAGAGTATAGTTAGATCGGTCAGCCCACTATGGAAATTTCACCAGGTATTAACTATGAAAGTTTTCAAAGAAGCAATCTGGAAATTGATCTGATAGGGTATAATTCTTGTTACCAATAGTCTTCCTCAAACTAAAAGGGATTATTAACAATATCAGGTTGATTTTGACAAATGTTGGCATGCTTCTCCCTGGAATCATTATTATCTTGTGGAATTTATTGCATTAGGCTAACTGGCCTGCTTTCATCCTCACCTTCTCTCTCACTGGTGCACCATCAGTATATACCAATATTTCAGATGAGGGTTACCATTCCATTTTCATTCACAAATAATCTTCAATGCTCTTTCTCTGGCTACCATGTCATAACTTATTTAATTTTCATAATTATAATTTTTAGCTTAGTAACTAACCTGTCTTAGCAGATGCTATTGTTATAATTTATATTTATTTTTTTTTTGGAGAGAAAGGAATTGCTATTAATGAAGTCTAACAGCCCAATGGGGCTGACATAGAACATTGGTAGCAATGATTACCAATGTTCTTTGTCAGGTCTGCTTTAATGCAGCTCCCTTTGGTCCTTATGATGGACTAATTGACTTGTTTTCATCCTCACTTATCACCCCTTACTGATGCCCTGCCAGTGTATACCAATAGTGTAGGCAGGGTTGCCATTCCATTTTTACCCATTAAAAGAAATTTGTTTCATTTGGTAAATATAAACATTATTAACATTATTAGATGACTTTTTAAAAATTATTTGCATCATAATGATTAATAATTTAAAATTAAGTTTTTATCTAGGCAAAATGTAACTGACTGTTAGGAAAACGTGTGCCAAAATTATATAATTGTAATTTTAGTTTTTCATATTTACTATAATGTCACCTAACTATATTTATTTATTTGTTTATTATACTAAAAAAAAAAGTATGGAATATATATTATTTATTAATGTAAACTACATTAATAAATAACATATATTCTTCATCTGAATTCTTGAATCATCATCTTCCTACCCTTATCCCAACTATTATTTGGAGTCGACGTAATATGGTTTTATCCATATTACTAAAGGATTTGGCTTATAGTTTTACGATTGGCCGCCTGCTTGACATCAACCTTCTTTGGAAATGAATTTGTTGGTGGTTTCCGCCACCTACGGTTTGGAGGAAAAGATTGAAGAAAAAAGGAAGGGAATGTTGGAAATGCGTAAAGGAAATTAGTAAATGAGAGGAATATGGGACTTATGTGGGAAAGGAAAGGGGAGGACACTGCAGTTGCTGAAAAGACTGGGACACTGCAGCGGCTCGGGAGGCCGGGGTCGCATACCTGTATTGCCTTATTCTAGAATCAGACAAATTTCTAAAGAAGAACACCCCTGACACTTATTGAAGGAATAATATTATTAATAATTCATATGTACATTTGAACGTTCACATATAAAATAATGGTTGTTTCAAGTGTCCCAGGATAATACCTGTTGTAATTAGTGTAACTGAAATTTAGTTCTATAGCTATATATTATGTGGTAATTGAATTACAGCTGCTGAACTATTGCGTGAAGCTGAGAAACTTATTGAGCAAAAGCTTCACCCACAAACAATCATAGCAGGATGGAGGATTGCTGTAGATGCTGCCAAACAGGCACTATCTGATGCCAGCTTTGATCATGAGAAGAACCTTAATGAGGCTGCACTCCGACTGGACCTTGAAAATATTGCTCGCACTACACTCAGTTCAAAGATATTGTCTAACCATAAAGAGTAAGTTGTTTGTTGATTTATATAAATAAAATTACAATATCACTGCAAACTATACAAGCTTGCCAAATTTTTCTAAATGATTCACAGGTAATGGTAATTTCTACATAGACATAAGATTATAGGCACAGAGACACACTGCGATGCTCATGGTACTGCTAATGTGTCGCTTTTCCAGATTATTGTTTTATGCTTTCATACCCTCTAATTTCACTATTTCCTCTGATATGAATTAATTATCCTCTTCCAAAATTGGATATAGAGATAACATATACAGAAAATGATACATTCTCTTGGCAGAGTGCAACAATTTAAATGTAGATGAATGTGTTAAAATATATACCTTATGTTTGATTTCAATTAGTAGAACTTTCCAGTTGATCTATACTGATTTAATGTTATTATTTTCTTTGTTGTATGAATCTAAACAAGTGTATATCTTTTTCATAATGCATTACATAGTATGTCTGTTATTTATTTCAGTGTGTATAATTTTTTTACGCTTTTACCACTAGTTACAAAGAATTTGCAAGATATTTCAGCAGACAATCTTTTTACTAATATGCAAAATAAAGATCACTGATCTTTTAACCTAGTTGTTTTTACACTGCTGTTGATAATATTAGATTTCTAAAATAGTGATATATTTTTTGAGTCTTTCTTTATCTCAGGTGGAATGTTTTCTTCTTTGTCTATAGGAGGATAGATGTAGCGGTATTTCACTGTTATTAGTGAACCAGAGCGGAATAATTTTCTAAATGTGTTTTGAAACTTACTATTTATCTGGATCTGATGAGGCTATAGATTCAGATTGGTTTAAAAATGTATTTGTATGTAGTTAGATCTATATAATAATTAAATTCGTTTATTGTAATAATTGCAGGCACTTTACAAAATTGGCTGTAGATGCTGTATTGCGACTTAAAGGCTCTGGAAATTTGAAAGCTATACAAATTATTAAGATACCTGGTGGTCTTCTTGAAGAATCTTTCCTGGATGAGGGATTCCTACTAAATAAAAAAGTAAATTCAATATTTAAATTAATGAGATTGTTTTTTTTTTGTGTATTTATTATCATTATATATATTTTATGTTTTTGTCTAGGTGGGTGTGCATCAACCTAAACGCATAGAAAATGCCAATATACTTATAGCTAATACACCTATGGACACAGATAAAATTAAAGTGTTTGGTTCTACCATTAAAGTAGATTCTATGGCAAAAATTGCCGAACTTGAAGTTGCCGAGAAAGAAAAGATGAAGGATAAAGTGAATAAAATTTTGGCACACAAGTGTAATGTATTTATCAATAGGTAAGTTCAAGTCTATTATAATGAAAAAAAAAAAATCTTCTAATACATTTTAATCACATTTAATTTGGACACCAATATGTATGACTGCTGCAACACTTTCACGTGTCTTTTTAATTGATTTTTTCTAGGATAATTAAATATTTCTACTTATTCTTCATTTTGAAATTCCACTTAGTCATTGTACATATGTTTGTTGTTATTTGCAAGATGAAAAATCTTGGAAAACGTAAAGTTATCATCTGGTAAGCCACATCAGAGGCCAATGTGTACAGTGAAAATAGCCTAGAAATTTTACATTAGAAGTCACCACCTTTAAATTAATAATAATACTCACTAGTTGTATCCCGCGGCTTCACTCCCGTGGATCAGTATACTAATATAATAATATTAATTGGATATTTAATCTTAAATTTAAGCATAACTTTAAAGTATAAAGTTTACCTTTTTCTCTAAGGTATTAACTGTTTTATTGGTTAAAAGTGCTTAATTGTTTTATTGATTTGTTTATTCTTTTCAGGCAATTGATTTATAATTATCCTGAACAATTATTTGCTGATGCTGGCGTGATGGCAATTGAACATGCAGACTTTGAAGGTATTGAGCGACTGGCACTTGTCATTGGAGGTGAAATTGTTTCCACATTTGATTCGCCGGATAAAGTTAAACTGGGCCATTGCAAGCTCATTGAGCAGGTAACTTATTAAATAAATCACTTAAAAAAAAAGTGCTTGTAACTATAAATTCCTTATGGAGTAGTAAATATAACCTCGTTTGCTCTCTACATATAGTCAGCACAGTTAGCCCTTTATAATAAATTCACCAAGAATGAATCATAATGTTTTCCAAGAGAAATTGCATTAAGGTTGACCTGACAGTACCCTGTCATTGGTAACAATAGATCCCATTGTTAGTAGACACCATTATTAGGTCCCCCCATATTAGAGGATGAGTGTCTTAAGCATTTGCCAACTGTGGCTGTTGTGATAAATAAAATATTTGTTGTGAGCATGGACCATATGGTCACATTATTTGGCGAGTATATTTAAAACTAGCATAGTATCAAATTAATCAATGTGACTCTGGTAAACTTACCACACAAATAATATTTTTTAAATAATTACGGTGAATAAAATATTCTGATGCCAATAATCAGGTTGCAGTGTTCACGTGATCATTATCTTATTGGCAGGTGTTGATAGGCGATGAGTGCCTGATTCGATTTTCTGGCGTGGAGTTGGGCTCCGCGTGCACAATCGTCATCCGTGGCGCCACGCAGCAAGTTATCGACGAGGCGGAGCGCTCACTGCACGACGCCCTTTGTGTGCTTGCTGCCACCGTCAAGGAACCTAAAGTTGTTTACGGTGGAGGTAAAACAAATTTATAAACAAAATATTGCAACATATTGATGTTGCTGAATTGTAGTCAAAATGTTGCTGACCAAATAGCATTTTGCATAGTTGTTGCTAGTTCCACCTAGTGAGCGTATTAAAATGTTTATCCAAATTAATTACACAAAGTAGTGTAGGAATATAATAAAATATTGCAGTATTTTTTATAATTTGAGCAACATTGTAACATTATATATATATAGTATAGACAAGACAGTTTATTAAATATTTTATTTAGTAACATTATTGATATTGAATGTCTACGAAATTTATGAACTATATCACAGTTTAAAATTTACCTTCTGTCATTTTTTAAATACGTAATGTATATCCTGTTTTGTGCAAATGTGGTGTTAGAAGCCATTGTTTCTATAGGTGCAAGTGAAATGTTGATGGCGGAGGCGGCTTCTCGCGTGGCGGCTCGCACAGCTGGCAAGGAAGCAGCAGCAGCAGAGGCGTTCGCTACCGCCTTACGCCGTCTGCCTTCTGCCGTCGCTGATAATGCCGGATACGATAGCGCCGAGCTTATTGCTAGGCTACGAGCCAGTCACGCACAGGGGGAGAACACCATGGGACTCGGTATGTTTGAAATATACCTCTGGCTAACTTGGAACATTAAGATTTTTCCATATTTATCCTATGTTGTTTTAGTTCTCACCATAAGTTTGCAGTGACTAAATTTAAGCAAATAGCCTGACTAAGTTAGTCATAGTAGTAGCATTTTCTCTTTTAATAAAAGAATGGAACTGTAATCCTTTAACCCTGTGTTATATTTGCTAGGGATCATAATAAATCACATATAATGTAATATAGAAATTAATAAAAAGAAAATCTAATTCTGTATTGAAAATGACCGTATCCACCGTCCACTGTCCTCTGCTGAACATAAGCCTCCCTCTAATGGGGCGGGGAGCCTTTGCTAATAGTTGTCATACTTGGCAGACAGGTTTGCAATCATAGTTAGGCTTTGGTGACATTTTAAGAAGGATGCAACTGTCCATTCCTCAGCTATTAAATGGACTTAGTCACCTCATAATAATTCTTACTTTATTGTACTCCTAGTTATTTGAATAGAATATGTTAACTATAACTTAACTATAATATAACTCTCAAAATCATTGAAAAAAGCTGTCTAACAATTTATATTATTTGTTGTGTGCTCCCGTCATAGAATGGGCTGCTACCTCTTCCTTTTCTGAGGGTGTTGTAAGAGGCAACAAAGGGAAAATGGTCAAGGGATGAGCAGCATCTTTCTTTAAACATCACTAAAGACTAACAGCGGTTGCCACTCACCTGCCAAGTGTGGCAACTACTGGTAAAACCTTCCTTTATGGCGGAGGCTTATATTCAGAGGTCGATAGTTAATGAAACATAAACAAATTGCTAGATAGTAATTTTATTGAGGACAATAAAAGTCGAGTGATGTATTTATGTTTTTAAATAATAAATTATAATAAATAGGAGAAAATTATTTTATTCGTATACTGTTTTATTTGTAGACATGGAGAACGGTCGAGTCGGTGACATGAAGAAGCTCGGCGTGACAGAGTCATACGTTGTTAAGAGGCAAGTGCTAGTGTCGGCCGCAGAGGCCGCCGAAATGATTCTACGTGTCGACAACATACTAAAGGCCGCGCCTCGTCGTAGGGGCCCCGACCGTCGCCCTTGCTAAACAGCTTTACCTTAAATCCAATGTATTTAAGAGGGCACTTATATTCTGTTTTTCTATACTTAACGTACTATATTTAGTAAACAATCATGGCACTTTTGTTCAATGGGCGTTTAAAAAAATAGGTAACAATATATAATCAAATAACGAAAAAAAAAACAGACACTACAAATAAAAAGAAATTTTTTGCAAATCATAAAATAAGCCTCCCCCACTAAGGAGGTTATCTGTTACCTATGTGCCCTCTTAATTAATTTGATGTTTCGTAAGAACTGTGTTATTTAATTATAAATAATTCAAATTAATAACATCATATGGTAACTCGTATTTGTATTACATACATTTCTTTTTGTCAATTTTCGAATATATGTTCAAATGAAATGTTTCTTTAAGTTAACATTAGAATATTTTATTTCTTTTAATATAATAATAATGTCCCGATAGTAATGCTAGTGAATTCACAGCTATAAAATGTCACACTATGCTTTTATTTACAATTAGCTTTTAGTTGGCTTGGGCCCAGGGGCCAGATGTCATGATGTACTAGTAATATCTACTTATAAATAAAGATTAATCATATTTTTGTGTTATTAATATGTAACCAAACTATTCCCATTCCAAATGGTATAAACAATAATTCAAGCACTTTTTTAATAATCTATTTGAAATATTGAAAATTATTTGCTTGTCCTAACGTCCCACGGATGCAATCATGAAGATTTGGTCTCGTTTTTAGGGTTCCGTACCTCAAAAGGAAAAAAACGGAACCGTTATAGGATCACTTCATCGTCTCTGTACGTTCGTCCGTCTGTCAAAACCTTTTTTCTTAGGAATGTGGAAGTATCAAGTTGAAATTAATATCATATATTCAGGTCTGCAGTCTCTTAATGAAAAAATCAAGATTCTAAATCGATGCAATCAAAAGATTTTATGTTCCATTTATATCGCATATTTTGACATTCGCAAAGGGAATCAAAAGCTATAGGGTACTTCTCGTTGACTTAGAATCATTAAATTTGGCAAAAGCAGTGTTATGTAGCACAAGTAAAGGAAAAATTCGAAAAGCGTAAATTTATAGTTATTTCACAAAAAAATTAAAATTTTTAAACTTGATGATTTTGTACAGAAACCTCGTTGCGCAATTGCGACTCGCACTTGACGGGCATTTTTTATGAGATCAAACTTTCTCACTGAATCGCTAACTTTTTACTACTTTATAGAGATTTTTTGACCCATTTTTTTTTTATTTTTCTGCATGATTTCAAATATTTTCTTTTATACAAAACTTGTCCTGACATTTAGAAAGAAAGAAAAATATTTGTTTGGTGCATAACAATTAGAACTAAAACATAAACTATAAATACAACAAAAAAAGTGAAATATTTCGCTTACAAACATTCGACAACTATTTGTTACATATACCTACAGATTTACAGGCAGTCCTCCACTGTGCGTTTTTCAAGGCAATTTCTCCCACGCACAACCACTCTTTGGAATCAACTTCCAGTAGCAGTATTTTCGAACCGATACGATAACATAACCTTCAAGAAAAGAGCATATTCCTTTTTAAAAGGCCGCCAGCACACCTGCAATGCCGTTGGTGTTGTGGGTGAACATGGGCGGCGGTATTCACTTACCATCAGGTGAGCCGCATGTTCGTTTGCCCCCTGTGTTGTAAAAAAAAATGTTGATCTTACCAACTTTGGGTAAGTTTTGGTATGAATGTTCTTAAAATAATGAGCAGTATTATTATGTCTAAAATACGCAAACGAAGTTGCAGGTTACAGTCACACAGATTAAAACATTTCCATTGTTTTCGTATTTGAGCATTACCTCTCTCAATTTAATTTTTGATTTTGGGAAATCTGATTTGGTTCAAGCAAATAAGCAATTCGCGATAACGAACGCGAGTACGAATTATTAGCAATAACCCCAATTCCAATTATTACGTTGGTGCCACAAATTCAATGTACCAAGTAGCGCGTCCCTGTGTTTTGCAATAGCAAATATTTGAACATCATATCCATTCGTTCACTTCGTCCTTTGAAAGTAGGTAATTTTCGTTTACACATTAGGGTTTGTGCAAACGAGGGACTATTGTTGGCAGAAAAATTCACCATGGACTCCTGTCATTTTTTTTAGAAACCATTGAAAATTCATTTCGAAAATAGAGTTTGTTATTCCTGTTACCTCGTGTGGTGGTGTTTGTTATGGTATTGCCCTTTGGTGTCAAGAGTTGCTAGGCCACTTTCGTTGTACACAAAGGCCTCTAATGTGGACAAATTTACATACAATGTTTTATTGAACTTACTTTATTTGATTACAATTATATTTAATTCCGCTACCATTGGTATGTGTACGACAGTTAACGTTTGACTACCATGATTATTATTATCAAATTCGATGTTAGCAACCATTGTATTTCCCGGCAACCATTTTATTTAAAACACGTGTTGCGAAACGTTTGTGGACGAAATGGAAGTGGAAGATTGATAGCTAATATGGAAAGCTATAGAACGTCTGGTAATAATAATAGTAGTTAATCTTCGAGTATTGGGATTCGCACACATACTAAGGTAGAGGAATTAAACAAATTAATTGTAATTAAAAAAGCCATGTTAAGTTTTAAATGATCCAAACATGAATTTGAAAATTCGGAGTTTAAGGGTAAGATTTAAGAATGGAATTCCCGGACCGTAAATCAAATAATATTTAACTTTTTAAAATCTCTCTAATAAAAATGTACATCGGTTATTATAAAAAAAAAAACTAATATTAATTTTTTCAAGAATTAATAGAGATAATTCATCACAAAACAATAAATCAACATCGCTTCTGGCGGAAATTTGTCCAGTTTCACGAATACTAACACTATTTCGAGTTTTCATTACCTAAAGTGCATATTAATATCTTTTTGTTAAACTCGCTTGGCTAGCTTACCTTACATATATATCGTAAATGGGAGAAAAGGGATTATTAGTAATGGAATTTGAAACAGCCCCACTGCTAGCAATACAACCTATAGGTTCTATTAGGTCCTACTAGGTTCCCCCTAGAAACCATAGTAGTCAATTCTGGTTCAATTAGTCACTATGGGCCATTTGACCTGCCTTCATCCTCATCTGTCACCCTTCATTGGTACCTCGACAGCATATACCGATAGAGCTAGCGGGGTTAGCTTTCTATTTTCACTCCATTAAAAAATATATATCGTAAATATATATGACAGTTCAAACTCGACAACTTTTAGATTAAGGATACCTACGCCTCAGTTTTTATGATGTCATCAAATCGCATTCAATTTAAGTTAGTCGGGGGAGAAGGGATTGTTAGTAATGCGGATTATCAGTTCCATTGCTAATAATATATCCTAACAGGTCGACCTCCCCGTGGTCTCCCCTGGAAACCATCGTGCTGAATTCCAAGTGTATTCATCACGATGGGCTAACTGATCTACCTTTTCATCCTCACCTATCATCTATCACTGGTGCCCCGCCAGCGTATACCGTTAGCGCAGGCGGGGTGACCATTCCATTATCATCCATTAAAAAAAAATTCAAGTTAGTCTACTAGTAGTAAGTATTTTCACCTTTTGTGTACTTTTTCTAGGAGTTACAACAAATTGCTTATTAGATTGGTAGATATTTATCAAAAATTCAATTCACCGAATTCTAGTTATGATATAATTTTGTAAATGAAATGTGTAGCTATATAATACTTATATTCTATACACATAAAAAACTTCCTTACAAATGAAATGAAATTCTTTTTCTCGAAATCTTCGGCTATTTGTACCGGGACTATAATGAAATTTTCCTTTATTATTTGATTTACCTGCTCCTACAATTTTATATCGTTGCAATAGTGTTATCCATTTGTATAGTATAGACCCTTTTATTTTAGCTTTAACGTAGTTTCAATATAGATCGTTTCTATCAAAAGAAAGTAGATACCTTTATAAATTAACTTACGTACGAATATACAGGGCGTTGGGATTGTTAGTAATGAGGTCTGTCGGTCCCATTGCTAGTAATATACCCTATCAAGTTGACCTTCTCGCGGATCCTCTTGAAAATCATCGTAATTATACACCATGCCCGTGGCACCGATGGGCTAATAGACTATAATGACTTCATCATTTACATTGGAGTCGATTAATTTGTCATTCATTCATTCAACACCATTCGTTATCGCTATTTCAAAAATTAAAATTTCAATTTGATATTACAGTGAAACCTTCTTATAAACAAAATTTTAGAATTAAAGAATTTGATTAAGATAGAGTCTCGGCATAGAATGGGCCACCTCTTTCTTTCCCGTGGGTGTCGTAAGATGCGACTAAAGGAATTTAAAGGTCGAGGGGTGGACAGCAGCGTCCCTCTTAAAACATCATCAAAGCCTAATTGCGGTTACCAATCCGTTTGCCATGCGTGGCAACTATTGGCAAAGCTCCCCTATACGAGAAGGCCTATGTTCAGCAGTGGACAGTTAACTGCTAATATGATGAAGTAGAATTTGGTCAAAATTACTTCACAATTACATCACATTTATTTTGAACAGTTTTGCTAAATTATTAAATTAAAATTATAATTATATACGTATTTTTAAAAAATTTACTTTCAGTTTCTGAGACTATATTCCTGATATCATCAATTTCGTTGTATTTGAAGTAGATATTATACTTAAGCGTTTGTGACAAAATATGGCAAAGTCGCAATAATCTGCCAATTCTTAAAAAGAATTGAACTTTCGCAATGTTTCCGATTAATTAGGTAGGTATTTAAAAGAGCTCTAGCTAACAGAATAAAAGACACTAAAACGATAATCTCAGAATTTATTCCGAAATCTTTTCACAGAATACGTTGCATAATCTGCCACTAAAATCTTTGTACTCCATATTTTACTTCGAAATTTTGTATATAGGTACATTTTTGCCATCAAATGTATATATTAGTGATTAAAACAATATTAATACATGATTCACGTTTTAATAAGTATTTTTTTATTTTCATATTTAAATTATATGAGTACTTATTAAAACTATGGCAACTTGTATGTTAAAACGTTAAAGAATTAGAGATAGCGAATGAAATTATTTGTATCTATCTACCTGACCCATCTATTTTGTTGAAGACGAATAAAAGTAGTTATAATATAAACTTATAAAAGTAGCGTAAATCTACACTAAACTAGCGGATTCCGTACGTTTGGAACAGATATTGAAATAATCATTTTGCTGCCGTCAAATAGTCTATGAACATGCGATTGTTGTTTATGGATAAGGGCAATTTAAATATTGCTATAATTATGAGTCATTTCGTTTCCACCGAGGCTAATAAAGCTCACGTATCGAAGACTTTCAAGAATTTAATTTTATGTTAACAACTCTGCGAACAGGCAATGACGTAGAGTTATAATATCTAAGTATAATTTTGTAATAATAATTATAAAGATATTAGTTATGAAAAAAGTACCTATATATATATATATGTCTATAGGCGACGGTTACCACTTTCCATCAGGTGGGCCGTCAGCTTGTTTGCCATTCTAAGTTGTATAAAAAAAAAAAGATATACAAA